ACTGCGAGAGCACTCGTAGTTGCCCATGGGCTCATCACCCTTGGGGAGCATGGCCATGAGCGCGTAGTCCAGGTCGTGTGGGATCGGTCCACCGTGAGCAATGGAGTGGAGGAGTGTGTGGAGGATCTCGATGCTGCCTTCTGACCGTACCCATGCTCGATAAGGCAGTCCGTCGGGCCCAGGAGCAGAGTCACTGGCGCGTTTAGCAGCAGCTTGAAGTTCTTCAACCCCAGGTAGAGGCAGGTGGCGTGGAGGCATTGGTGGGAAGACCATGTCCACATATTGCTGCATCGCTGGGGCGTCAACGTGCTTAGCAGCGAACACCTTCGACCAGTGATATTGAATAGCGTTGTGCATGTCCATGGGGTCGTTGGCGACTGTCGGGCCTCTGCTGTCGGTGATGCGGACACCTGCCAGAATCAAGCGCTTCGAGAACGGCTTCCAGATCGCGCTGCGCTGTCCAATACGACGAGCACGACGACGCCATCGCTCACCAAGGTCGGGTCGTTGTTCCGCGTAGGCAGCTCGCGAGCGGGCGGCAGCAGCGCGACGTCGTTGTTCAGCGATCTGAAACTGCATGGCGGAGTGCTCGGTCTCGAACGCGGTGCGGTCGACAAGCGAGATCTTGTGGTGACAGATGTCGGTGTGCCGTGCCCCAGCAGTGGTGTCCTCTCGAAGTCGCTGAGCGAGAGTGAGGTCTTGGTACCAGACGGCCCTGGCAATACTGCGGAGTGTGAGTGCACGCGCCTCTGCTATGACTTGTGGGTCTTCATTTCTGCTCTCGAACGGATTGATCTCGGAGGCGGAGACAGAAGTGCTGGTGTCGCGAGCCTTGCACACCGCCATCTTCATTACGTGCCTCATTGTCCGCCAGATGGAGATGGGGTCGGCAGAGAGGTCGGCCATCTCGACAAGGCGATTGCAGTAGAACTTGTAGTGCTTGGATTCGAAGATGAAGGCGGGGGCGCCGCGTTCGCGGGCTGGACGTGGCTAACGAGGTCGAAGCCGTAGATGTAGAATCTTGCGATCGCTGACGGGCTCTCCTTCTCGGTCGAGCGGTCGGCCATCGGCAACAAGAAGTGTCTCGATGTGCGGGATGTTGGACGCGTTGATCGAGACGAAGCACCTGTCGATGGTCGCCTCCGTCATGTTGGCCACGGTGAGTGGTGGCCTTCGCACTGATCCCCATCATCTGTGAGAAGATGTGCTTCCAAAAGACAGGCTGGTAGTGGTACCGCTCGGCGGTGGGGTCCGCGGTGGGGCGAAGCAGGCTCTTCGGCGGCGTCTGGGCGATATTGAAGTCACCAATCATGCAGTAGTCGTGGTTGTCTGGGTGGAGGGCTGAGCGTTGAGCAGCTGCTTGCCAGAAGCACTGACGGTCAGAACCGCTGAGGTCGTAGTTGTGAATGTTGAAGATTGTTGTCTCGTGCTGTCTTGTCCCGTCCTGAATGCGTAGTTCGCCAATGCGCCCAGGGACGATCGCGCGAAATGAACGTAGAGGTCGTCGATCACGTGGCAGTTGGAGTTCAGCTCGGTCAAAGGGAACCAGGAGAGCGATTCCGCCTGCGGTCCCCGAGGATTGGCCGTCAGTCACTAGCGCTGGGTGGAAGGCGATGTACTTGTGGTCGGAGCCCGCGGCCAGGAGGTCCATGTCGGTGCTGTTGCCGTGCGTCTCTTGGATGGCGATGGCCGCTCGTTGCCGCATGTAACGGAGCAACAACTGTCGCGTGAGGGCCCGCCTTGTTGCCGATCTGCCATTGAGCGCCTGCGCATTCCACGAGACCAAGTTGAGGCCGTCGGCGCGTGGCTTCGCGAACCACGGCGACCATCGCATGCTAAAGCCACCGTACTGCCTCCAGTGGGTTGGCGAATGCGGCGGCCAGCGCGGTGGCCAATGGCGCATGCTCGGTGATAGGGATGCCAGCGGGGGCAGCAGCGTCGGACCAGCGGACCTGGGTGGCTGCATCAGGAGCGGCGCCAGCTGTGACCTGGACGATGGGAGCACCGTCGACGGACAGGAAGCCTCCAGCGCGGTGAACCCGAGTCTCGAGCGTGGGGAACTTGTCATTGATGAGCTTGTTGAGCTTGTTTAGTTGAACTTCTTGGCGGACCATGCGTGGCGACTTGTCCGCGGAGACGTAGAGGGCAGCGAGTCCAGAGTCCGATTCCACCTGGAAGCGTCGCCATTCACGACCTTGCCGAAGTGCGCGAAGTAGAGCTTGTGCTCGCGGAAGAGCAATCGAGTTGCCGCCAGTGAGTGTGAATGAAATTATCCGTGCTGGGCCCTCTGAGTTGATGCGGAGCGCATTGATGTCCACGTCGGCGGCTTCGAACCAGGAGGCGAGCGCAGTCTTGAGCGAGGCGACGGAGAATTCTGAGGCAGCCCCACACCAGAAGGTTGCAGCATTCGGTGGGCGGCCCCAGGCACCCCTGGCGTCCAAATCCATGGCTGGGTGGAGAGCTTCGGCATGACGAAGAGCTTGCTGTAGAGCGTCCACGCTTGCCTTGAGTTCGCCTTAGAGGCGTTCAGCACGGTCAGCACGGCCTTTGAGTTCGGTAATATCCCTCTCGGCAGACTCCTGGCGGTTGCTGAGCTGTTCCGTGAGCTTCGTGATGTTGGCCAGGAACTCAGCTTGCGCAGCAGCTGCAACTTGTTTGGATGGGGCTTCGAAGGCGGCGGCGGTTTTGTCGACCTGGGTCTGGAGGAGATCGGTGAGCACCTTCCTCTGGTGTGCGGGGAGGTCGATCGCGGCAAGCTTCTGAGCTCCAGCGGCCCAGGGGTCGGCAGCCGCAGTGTCCTTGCCCTTGTCCTTGTCGGTGTAGTCGGCCCAGGAGTCGGCGGAGCTGGCGACACCAGGCACACCCATCGCGAGGCTATCGTGCGCGGGGCCAGCGCTGGCGGCGAGAGATATGTAAGCTGCGCCTCAGCAGCGAAGGAAATGGAAATGCTCAACGCCGCGGGCACGGCGAAGGCGGCAAGCAGCGGTCCTAGCAGTCCCCGGACCAGGGGTCTCCGTGCTCTGCCACGGGGCACAAACATCTTGAGCCAAAATGGCTACGGAGGAGGAGGAGGAGGTGGACGACGACGACGAGGACGAGGACAAGGAGGAGGCGGACAATGAGGAGAAAGGAAAAGGAGGAGGAAGAGGAGGAGGAGGAGGAGCCCAGCGTAGAGGGGGGAAGAGGAGGAGGAGGAGGAGGAGGAGGAGGAGGAGGAGGAGGAGAAGGGGGAGGAGCGCAGGATGAAATGGGCTTCCGACGCCCCAAGATGGTTCCACTATGGCCCAAGAGGGCCCATAAGGGCTCCAAGACTGCCCCAAGAGCACCCGAAGGCGCCCCACGAGCGCCCCACGAAGCGATTCTAAGGGCCCCGAACCAAGGATCCCCCTTTTATGGTCGATGGCCTCCAAGATGGCCCAAAGAGGGCCGCCAAGGCCCCCAAGAGGGCCCCAAAAGAGAGCCCTGACAGGGGGCCCAGCGGGCCCAGGGCCTCCAAAACTGCCGAGGGGCCCGAGATGGCCCAGGCAGGCTGCCAAGAGGCGCCCAGGTCGAGAGGACGCCTGGGGGCCCGCCCGGGCGGATCCCGATCCTCGGCCCGGCGACGTCCCCTCCCTCTTTTCTCCACTGCTCCCGCGAGAGAGCCCAACGGGGGCACCGAGAAGCGGCTGGGCCAGCGTGCAAGACCGGGAAGGGGGCAGGGAGGGCGGCCGCCGCGGAGGGGGGGGGGAGAAGAGGCCACCCACTGCGTGCGCCTGCGCGTCCCTGGCAGGTGCAGCTCACCTGGGCCTCGCTGCTGGACGGGCTACGAGGAGAACTAATTGCCTAGCGCGCGCAGGCAGGCAGGCATCAGCAGAACCTACCGCCGGGGGAAGCTGCTGCTCCGAGGGCAGAGGCTGCAGCCGCCGAGGGAAGCGAGGCAGCGCCGTGGGCGGAGGGGCTGGTGGGGCTACGCGAACCGTCAGGCATGGTGGTGGCCCTGGGGCCCGAGAACCGCTTGCAGACGCCGAGATGGAGGAAAAGAACGCCAGGATTGAACACCCTCCGAAAAATACTCGACGCGGAGATCCCCAAATGTGTATCTCGTTTACTGGCGCTTCCCGCTATCGGCGACTGAATGTGAGAGAGCCTTAGCCTGCTACATCGCGGTGGGGGCTCTAAATGAAGTGGAACCGGAAGCGCAAAACAAGCGCCTGGCTCGAGACATCCCCACAATCTGGCAAAAAAACAGGCCCACGATGCACCGCCTGCGCCAGAAACATCCGCAGAATCTGGCCGCCAACGGGCCAGGAGCAGGAGGAGGAGCAGGAGGAAGAGGAGGAGGAGGAGGAGGAGGAGGAGGAGGAGGAGTCTGCTCTGGGGGCGAAGGAGTCCGAGCAGCAGAACGGGCGCCTCGCCAAAGACATCCCCACAGTATGGCCACGAGCGGGCACACGTGTCCCCGCCCCTGGCGGTTCCCCCCCTGCGGTGCCCAAGCGGTATGCCTGCTATATGCCAGTGATCCTCGGAGGCCCGTGGGTCGAGCATGAGCGGGTCTGGGTGTGCGTGTGTGTGTGTGACGGTGTGAGGTGTAGGTAAGTCCGAGGGTGAGTCTGAGTGTGCGTGGGTCTGAGTGTGAATGTTCGAAGTGTGACTGGAATGCGTGTACGAGTGTGCGCATCATCTGGCTGTGTATGAGTTGATATGAGCATGAATGGTCGGTGAATGAGTGAGTATGGGTATGAGTGAGTCTGAGTGTCAGTGTATCTGATTGTGTGAGGTCGATGTGCGAGTAATCTGAGTACGAGTGAGTCTGAGTGTGAGTGAGTCTGAGTGCGAGTGAGGAGAGGGAGGAGAAGGAGGAGGAGGAGGAGGACGACGACAAGGAGGAGCAGGAGGGGCAGCGAGGAGCGGGAGTGGGAGGCGGAGGCAGAACTATAGGGGAGAGAGAGAGAGAGAGACAGAGAGAAGGGAACAAAAAAAAAGATTAACAACAACAACAGAAAAAAACAAGTCTGATGGGGGGAAGGAGGGAGGGAGGACGCGGGGAGGGAGGTACCCCCACCCCCACGTCCCATGGGCAACGGCCGTTGCTCTAAGTGCACCCTGCCCCGGGGGTCGCCTCCTGCGCGCCTCATCGTCGTCGGCCGCCTCCCGGGGCGGGGGGGGGCGCACCGCTGTCCCAGACTCGTCGACGGCTTGACGACTCCTGCTGTCCCTCGTCTCGCCCTAGATATTGCACGATGCCTCCAGATTCATCTGCATATCTCTGGACTTACCGGTTCATCTGGGTGCACAGCGCTTCACACATCGATTCACCTCGGTCTACCAGGCCGTTTCCCCGCAGGTCGCTTGGAGAAGGGTCTCCAAGCCCTTGGGGGACGGACGCACCAGGGTTAAGTCGGGCCTGTCCCTCTACAGGAGGAATATTCAAAGAAAATCAAAAAATAATATGGGGACGATTTGGTGTAACATCTTTGGATATTTTCCAACGTTTGTTGGCCATTCCATATTCTTCGTCCAAAATCTCCCTGTAGGGGGACAGGCCCGACCCAACACCAGGGCCCGAGTGCGGGCCGGCGCCCTGCTGCGCCCTGCGGCCCTGTTGCCGGGAATTCAAATGCAAAGGATGGCCTACAGGACCTCCTCCTCCTCCTCCTCCTCCTCCTCCTCCTCCACCACCTTCTGGGCGTCGAGAAAAAGTCACGACGGGCTGTTTCTGACCGCGGCTGGGGCCTTCGGGGAGTCGCCTTCGGGCCCTAGGGCACTCACAAAAACAGCCTGGGACTACCAGAAAAGGTTATTCTAGGAATGGAGCCGAGAGCTCTAGGACCACGCCGTGAAAAACTGCGACATCGAACGTCTGTTAGGGAACAGAGTGCACCAGCGCTGCTGCAGGCCCAAGCGTCCCACGCTTGCAGAGCTTACGCCTGACATCTCCGCCTGTGCATTTGCGAGGCGCGGCTGGTGTTAGTTCGGGCATATCCTCCTTAGGGGGGATTTTGGACGAACAAATTTGAACTGTCAGAAGAAATTCCCAAAATAGCAAAAACAAAATAATCGAAAATCGTCCCCATACTATTCTTTGACCATTTGGGAATATTCCTCCTGTAGAGGAGCAGGCCCGACTTAAGTTAAGGCTGGTGGCAAGAGCACGATGGGCAGGACGCGACGTGTCGAGCTGCTCGCCGACTACGCACTGATGCGTCAGCCTGTTCGCGAACGACGGACAGCAATGTGACGTCGCAGTTCCACAGTTTTTCACTGCTACAGGGGGTGAAGGCTGAGGGTCCGGGGGGACGAAAGGGGTAGAGAATCAGCTCACGTAGCTGATTTTCCCAGTGCCTCCCGGCGCCAGGAGGCGCCCACGTATCGAGGAATGGGCCCGGCGGCGGGGCCGAAACCAGCTGCATGCAGCAGATTTCGTAACCCCCCCTTTCCCTATCCCCCCCTCTCGTTCGGCCCGAGAGGACAGCGGACCCTGAGCCAAGATTTCGATTCGCCACCGTACAGGATACCTCTTAACTGTCTGTTCGGAATTATGTGGTTTCCCCTTAGCTGTCTGTGAAGAAGTCTGTGGTTTCCCATGGCGACCCCCCTTCCCAGAACAATCCAGTCGGGGACCACCCACACTCCATACCTTCTGATTCCTGGCGCCTTTCGGCACGAAAGAAGCCCCTAGACAGCCCAGGACCGCTCCAGAGGGCCCCAAGAAGCCCCCATGACGACCCAACCAATCAACCCCCAAGGAGGCCAAGACCGTCTGGAGAGGGCTCCAAGACTGCCCCAAGACCGGGCCAGAGAGCCCCAAGTTGGCTCTACCGAGTCTCTTCGTGAGAGCTGGGTAGAACCATCGCGCCCAGGTTCGCTCCAAGATGCAACAGGGCCCCCAGAAGCCTTCCAGAAGTTCCAAGGAGGCCTCATAGAGAAGCAAGCAGCTAGATCAACATGAACTGTCGGAGGTGCGCTCGGAGTTCTTGAATCGACGCTGCACCTCCACCGGAGCGCGAAACGCGTCATCATGGGGCCCGGGGCCCAGCCTGTTCGGGAAAGATCGGCAGAACTGTTCTCTGATGTTTGCCTGTTTCGCTGGGCTTCCCCGGTGCCGCCAAGAACGAAGGGGCCCCAGGACACACAAATAAATACACACAAATAAAAATATTCCCCATATGTTCGCATGTTTTATGGGTTTTTGTCATCCCCCCACTTCCTATATTTTCCCATATTTTCCTGGGAGTCGACGATTCATTGTGTCTGTGTGTTTTCCCCCTCCTGAAAGAACAGGTACGCGTCGCAGAGAGCACGGCCACGCCGTGCCGCCCAAGGTTGGCACGGGTGCCTCAAGCCCTAGGGCGACGAGGTCTGCACACCTCCACCGCCGCCGGCCAGGCTCATCCTGGGCCCAGGAGCAGTGTATATTTACCAGCCTCGAACGTATCCCTATCCCTAAGATTGACACGCCAAAAGGCGATGACAATCTTAGGGATTCGCCCACAAAAAATAAGGGAATCCCTAAGATTGGCATCGTGATGAGGAGGTGCCCAGCATAGGGATAGGGATATGTTCCAGGCTGGTAATATATGCCTCCCTGGTCAAGTCAGGGGGGACGTGTACACCGCTCCTGGGCCCAGGAGGGGCCTGGCCAGCGGCGGTGGATGTGTATGGATCTCGTCGCCCTACAGCCCCCGCATTGGGAAGCAAGCTGTGCCTCGCCAGAGCCAACTTTGTTTTCCACCACAACGCATCGCCACTCAGCACGGTCAGCCCTGGCTTTGGAAGGTATTCGACAGACCCTGCAGACCAAGAAGGTACAAGGCCTCTACACAGCTAGCAAGCTGCCTACATCATCAAGGAACGGAAGGACAACAGAAGAAGGAAAAGGCAGAACAGGAACAGAAGGAAGAGGCAGAACAGGAAGAGGCACCGCCCAAACCAACTTATGTTCGTCCCAACTAGCACCGGAGAAGATCGCAGCAACTCTGTAGCGCAAGGCGCGCATCCGCGGGGCCGTCAGGTAAAGTAACGCTTGCTGTTGTTCCACGTGCCTCGAGCGCGACGGGCGCTCGCAGGCGCGCCCAGCCGCGTCAGCAGCAGCAGCAGCAGCAGTTTGAGCACCGCGGCACATCAGCAGCAGCAAGCAAGCATCAGCAGCAAACAAAAGGCCAAGCAACCCTGGATGCACTGACCGACCACGTGGCTGAGAGTGGCCAGCAAGGCCAAGAGCACCGAGGGGAAACGGCTCAAGGGGGGAAACATCGAGCTGCAATCGGCGATACATCGCCGATAAGGGCCTGATAGCCTACCCCGCCCAGGAACGTGCGGATTCGCGATGAGGCGCCTACTACCGATCTATCGGCGATGTATCGCCCTTTCCAGCTCGATGTGCCCACCCCCTGAGCCTACGGTCGGGAACTTTTACTTGGCGTGTCGCGGCGGCGGCCCCGGCGACACGCCATGCCCTGCAAACGGATAACGTATCGCTCCGCTCCGCTCCGCGGAGACGGGGGGCTGGGAAAGGCTCGGGACGTTGACGCTTGGGCACTGGGGCGTGGATAGCGTGTCGCGCCGAAGCGTGGTGGGCCACAACTGGCGGAGCGACACGCTAAGCCAAAATTCCTGACCGCATCCCTCAATTTTCGGACGGCTTTGACATCCTATCAGCCAGCGTTGACTCCAAATAGATAGGAGGGAAGGAGAAGGACGAGAGGTGGATGGGAGGAGGACGAAAGGAGGACGGGAGCAGGACGGGAGGAGCAAAATCAAGCAAGCGCAAGCAAGCAAGCGGAAGCAAACAAGCACAAGCGATCAATAACAAGCAAGCAAGAGCCAGCGACCAAGTGCAAGCAAGCAAGCAAAGGCAAGCACGAGCAAGCAAGCGATAGCAAGCACGCAAGAGCAAGCAAGCAAAAGCACGCAGCAGCAAGCAAGGGCAAGCGACTCATAGGAATCCATAGGATTCGCCATTGGAAATAGCTGGGGGGGCCATTGGAAATAAGGGGGGCATTGACAAAAGGGGGAAGGGGAGGGGGGTGCCATTGGAAATAAGAGGGGGAGGCATAGGCATAGGCATAGCCATAGGAATTACGGGGGAGGACATAGGAATTTGGGAAGGGGGGGCAACGGACCAATTAGTAGGGTTAGATTCAGAACTCCTGTAGAGCAAGCCTATTTGGATAATGACTCGGGTCTCCAGCGGCCATTCCTGACGATCTGGGTACTCCGCGGACGCTCTCGACGAGGCGCAGCTGCTGGAAAGCATCCCGAGGCTGGAAAGCCGCCGAGAACCGACGAGAACGTCTGAAAACCCGAACCTCGAACCTCGAAGGTTCCCCGCCACTGCCCCCGACTGAACCAGCCCCTCCCCGTCGCGGGTCCTGGAGGACCCCACGGGCACCCCGCTGGAGCAGCGGCTAGCTGGCGCGGCGAGCCACGAGGCCGCGCCAGCCGCGGCCGCGCGCCCGCAGGGGCCGGGCCCACGGGCGCAGCGGTGCGCCTCCTTTGGAGGCCTGGACATGGGCACCAACACCAGCACAGGGGGTCTGCCTCCACAGGGGGAAGACGATCCCAGGTGCCGGTATTGGTGGCAATCTCTCGGCCACCGAGGAAGCCCGCAAAGGGCCACCGGCAACGAGATCGGGAGCGCCATCCCTCGTTGAAAGCACGCCACCGGTTCGGGGATGGACAGACCTCCCTTTAGTAAAACGTGGTTTAGTGAAAACGACCTCGGGCCCAAACCTGGCGGGCGCAGGCCTGGAAAATAACGGCCGCGGCGCCCTCTCGAGAACCGAAAACGGACAATTCACTAATCGACGTGTCACTGTTGGGGGTTCTGTCCGCCCCCGACCGGTATTGGTGGTGGTGTCAACCTCCAGGGCTCCGATCCTTGGAACCGCCACGCGCCGCGCCGCTTCTTCGCAGCGCTGGCGGGCGCGAGCGCGACTGCCGGGCCGACGGGCCGCGCCGGACACACTGGGCGCACCAGAGCGGCGGACGAAGGATTGCAAAAAAAAACGAAGGATTGCAAAAAACGAAGGATTGCAAAAAAAAAAAAACCGAAGGATTGCAAAAAAAAACGTCCCGAAATTGCAATCCGGCGTAGAAGTGGCCGCGGAGGAGGGGGGGAGGAGGCCCGGACCGCCGAGAATCGACGGAGACCGAGCCGCGCGAAAAGCACGACGGACTGCTTTTGACTATCTTCGGCCTCCGGAGGCCCTCCTCCTCCGCTATTTCCGCTATTTGACGCGCCGTAAGGGTCACTGCCCTGAAGCGCAGCGCCCTCCTCCTCCTCATCATCCTCCTCCGGCCCTCCTCCTCATCCTCCTCCGGCCCTCCTCCTCCGGCCCTCCTCCTCCGTCTCCTCCTCCTCCTCCTCCGGCCCTCCTCCTCCTCCTCATCCTCCTCCTCCTCCTTCATCATCCCGTTCCCTTATCAATCACTCCTCCCTGTCGCACCCCGCGAAGTCTCGGCAGGACGGGCCGGGCGTTTCGCCTAAGACTTCCGCATCACGTATGATCCTGATGTTCATAATGCGCGGCAGCTTCACAAAAGGAGGGCGGGTGGTTTCTTAAACGGTGTCCCTCGCCCCCCGCACCGCGCACGTTCTGCTTAACGTGTTGAAGCTTTTTCGAAGGTGAACGGCGGTCAATCTTCAACATGTGGGTGGCTCTTGCCCCCTACCACGCACACTCTAGTTCAAAGTTTAACACCGTTTCACGGATGGAGAGGGGCTCCTTTTCAAAATGTGGCTCTCGCCGCGGCGCGGCGCCCATTCGTTCTAAAAGTTGCAGCAAAAGTTCCAAGGACACGCATTGTTGAAATCCCACAAACTGCGTTCGGGCACGCTAAAAGATTGGCACGACGCGCTAAGTATGTTGATTAGCGGTGTTGAGCACCCAGGGGTGGTGTTCAGGCGCGATTTAATATTGTCAGCACGCAACAGTCACGGCGATTCGCGGCGTTGAAGTCTCAAGAACGGTGTGATTGCACGATGGAAGATTATTGGACGGCTTTCTTCCAACGGGGCACTTCCCGCAATGAAAACCATGTTTTGTAGGGAACTTCGAGGAGGGAACTTGGAGGCAGGGTGTATTGCAACATCGTTGATGCATCTTGGCTTTACACTGGTCCTCATCCTCACCCCCCTCTCCTCCTCGGCGGCCTGGTGGAACAGGGCCGACAAAGTCAGTTGTCAGAAGTGTGGGGTTGCCAAGGCAGCCGCATTCAAAGGCCCACGGGCCAAGCAGGTGGAGTATAGTAAATACTCGTCAGGTGGAGGTGTACAGGCCCCGCCGTGGCAGATGGGTAAGTTGGCAGAGTTGGACAAGCAGCTTGAGCTCACGCGAAAGCAGCTCGACAACGCCAAACGAAACGAGAGAGAAGTGGTTGTGGAAAGTACATAGAGGTCGATTCGGGTGAGATGCATCCACTATTCAGATTTAAGGCAAGGTTGAAGGAGATCGATAATGTCTTGCGGGTCATCAAAGATCGCAGAGAGTTTGACAGCTGAAGAGAATAAGTTGCATGCGGAGCTCGAGTCGTCGAAGCCAGTCCCAGCGCAGCCTGAAGCTTGCAGCAACCTCCCTGGGTCCAGCCAGTCTGATGCAAGCCACTCCACGACCTCAACTGACGGTCAGACCACCGGAGGTATCTTGGGCAGCAAGCACGGGGCTCATCTCATATCTTCGAGCGAGGCCAAGGGCTAGCGGCGCGCACGAGGGTGCCGAGCGAGGGGTGGAGGCCTTCTTGGAGGGCCCCCCTCCGCCTCTTAGAACGGGTGGAGCGTATGGTTTCCGAGGAAACGGCCCCCTCTCAGAGGGCCCCTACCTTCCCACAAGGCCAAGCCCCCCCCGCCCTGCCCCCGACCAAACCCCACCCTAAAACTGGTCCCCAGACCCCCCTCCCGTGGCCCGTCCTGGCAAGTCCCCCCGAGCTGCGCCCAGCGCCGGCGACGAGAACCTCTGGAAACACCCAGACGGCGACGTCGAAGCCGAGGCCCTCGTCGCCGTCGCGCGCGGCGGCGGCAGCACGGCGCCCGCCCCGGGATGCCACTCGGCCGCGCGTGGTCCGCGCGAGCGCGCAGCGGGGCCGGGCCTTCCGCGCCTCCTCGTCCTCCTTCGCCCGCCTCGCTCGCTCCTCGGCCCTCCTCGCCTGGGCGGGGCCGTCGTCGTCCTCGGCCCTCCGCGTCCACGTCTTCGTCCCGCGCCGTTGCCCTCGCTCCCGTCCACGCCCTCGTCGTCCTCGCTGACCCGCCTCGCTCGCTCGCTCGGCCCTCCTCTCGCCTGGGCGGGGCCGCTGCTGGGTCTCGCCCCCCAGCCTTCGAGGATCGCGGGAGGGGAGTTTTCGGACGTCTTCGGCCGGCTTCGTGGAAGTCTTCGGCCCTTGATGGGCCTCCAGAGGCGAGGCGAGGGTTCTCCACAACCAGAACGATCACCGTACGAGTAGGCGAGACTATGTACAATCACGAAGCGCTTGAAAACGACACCTTCCAGGTTCATGCAAGTCATTTCACAACCAGAGGGCCTACATCACAACCACGAAGGAGCCCTCTGTACCACCAAGAAGGGGCTCTTCACAAACAGACGGACCACTATAACACCAGACCAGCCCTTGACGTCCCGCAGAGGTTCTGGACACACCTCTACTTATGACGCCAGGGGCCCATTGGACGATCAGCAGCTGCTCTTGGGCGATCTCCAGGGGACCTTCGACGATCTCCGGAGGCCCTTGGGCGATCTTCAAAGGCCCTTGGACGATCTCCAGAAGTCCTTGGACGATCTCCAGAGGGACTTCGACGATTTCTGGAGGCTTCTGGACGCCTTGAAGACGCTCTTGGACGCCTTCCAAGCGCCTTTGGACGCCTCCGACAGGCCCTTGGACGATCTCCATCGGACCTTGGATTCCTGGAGGCACTTGGGAGCTCCCGGCGGCCCTTGGACGCCCTCCTGAAGCCCTTGGGCACCCTCCTGAGGCCCTGGACGCACACAAGGGGCCCAAGGATGCCCTCAAGAGGGCATGGGGCGCCCTCCAGCAGAGTCTGGACAGGAGGGCACCATCCGTCGCCACTCGTCATCGTCGTTCCCGGAGGACCGAGGGAGAAGGACTTGTTTTCACATCCACTGCAGCCACTGCAGAGCGTCTCGCGGAGCAGTCCGCGGGAAGCCAGGGCTGGACCTGACGAGCCCCAGACCCCCCAGCCGCGAGGAGGACCAGGTGGAGCGCCGACGGCACCGCGACGGAGCACCTCCCCGAACTCCACGGCAGGGCCGAAGAACTGCCGCGGCCCGCCTGCGGGGATGCTCCCGAGCACCGTCCGAGCCCGCTCCCGCACGTCCAGCACCGCCGCGCCGACGCGGAGCAGCCGACGAGGCCCGACATCCGCCAGCGAGAGATCAGCCCGCTGGCGCACGTCGAGGCCAGCCCCGAGCCCGAGCGACAAGGCGCGGCCGCCGCCGAGGCCGCGGGGAGAGCAGCGGGCGCCGCCGAGGCCGACACCCACCGCGAGCCTCAGCTTCCGCCGCCGCCCCACGGGCTGAGGGGCAACGACAGGGGGGGACTGGCATAGGGGGGGATGCATCGACCAGGAATCGGCGATACATCGCCGATGGATCGGCGATCAGCCTCCGATAGTGGACCCGCACCCTCCTGGACAGGCTAGGGGCTATCGGGCCCCGATCGGCGATCCATGGGCGATTCGGGGACGATGCATCCGCCCTCATGCCCATCCCCCCCCTATCGTTGTCGCTGACGGGCGCGCGGTGGCCCTGCCTCGGCGCCGCCAGCGACGGCGCCGCCGGGCGGGTGCGCCTGGGCGACGGCCCAGCTCGTCGTCGCCCTCGGCGCCCGAGGCCGCAGCAGCCCCGCCACTGGCGTCGCCACCGCCACGGGCCGACCTGCGCGCCTCCGCCTCCCGCAGGCGGCGCCGCCACCGCCGCCGCGGCCTCGGAGCGCGGCGGGCGAGAGCCCTTCGGCCGCAGCAGCACCGTCAGCAGCAGGCCGCGCAGGCCGCTCGGCGATCGCCCACGGCGATGCCGACGAGGCACAGCGCGCCACAGCAGCGACAGTACGCCGCGCGGCGCTCCAGCGAGGACTGCGCCGCGGACAGCCGCCTCCACCGAGGAGGCTGCATCGGGCGCAGTCGAAGCTCCTCTGGGCCGCGCCATGCCGATCGCGGACCGGATCGGCCATCCCCGAAAGCAAGGCGCATGACCCTGAAGGCAAGGGGGGCGCGAGGGCGCCCAGGGCGCCCGCCGTGCGACCTCGTCTTGCCCCCCGAACCCGAACCAGGGGGGGCAAGGAAAGAAGCACGGTGAAAACCTAGCGAAGCGCGGGCACCTCCCGAGGGCACAGCGGCAGTGGCACCCGTGCCCTGCACAAAAGGAGGCCGGCCGGCGGGCCAGCCGCCGGCGCGGCCGGAGGGCACAGTGCCGCCACGCCCCGTGCAGAGGCCACGGAGCAGATGCGGGCACCTCCCGCGTGGTCCCAGCTGTCGCTCCTTGGCATCCCTGCTCTGCCGTGCCTCCTCTAGGAAGGCACCAACTATACACCAACACCGATCCTGGCCAGGATCACCCTGGGCCAAGATCGGTGTTGGTGTATAGTTGGTGCCCTCCGACTCCCCCTCCCCCTCCTCCCACTCGAAGCTCGAAGCCAAAGGCAGTGCCACCACGCCCTACTCACACGGAGAAGCGGCGTGAAGGCGCCGAAGGCGGCCTGCCGCGCCCCTCAAGCAGGGCGGACTGCGAGCCAGCTCCAGGCAGACCCCGTGACAACAGAGAGGGGAACGGGAGCGCAAGACACGCGTGAGGCACCAGAGGCCATCCACCAACCAAGCGAAAGATGATCGCAAGACATACGGGAGGCTCAAGGGGCCGTCGACGAAACAAACGGTAGACGTTCGCCCTCGGCGCGAATACGGCGCCAGAAAAAGCACCAGCCTGCGACCCCAGCGGGGACGTGAACCGCGGCAACATTGGGATCCCCGAAGGCAAGGGAGGGACCCAGTCCCACCACGGCCTGCCCCCCTCCCCCGGGGGAGGCTCCCCCCAAACCCTGAAAAAGGGCGCCCAACCTCCGCCAGTCCTTGGAGGGCTCACCCGGGTACTTCTGCCCCGCCCATCTGGCGGCACCGGCCATCCCGTCAGCCTCCAGCCGACGGGGGCTGGCAATCCTCATCTCACCTGCGAAGGAGAAGGAGAGCGGGGCCGAACGACCGCTTGAGCCAAAATGGCTAATTACGGACGCGGAGGGAGGAGGAGGAGGAGGAGGAGGAGGAGGAGGAGGAGGAGGAGGAGGAGTAGGAGGAGGAGGAGGAGGGGGACCAGAGTAAACCCAAGATGCATCAACGATGCTGCAATACACCCTCCCGTCCCACGTCCCCTCCTCAGAAGTCCCTACAGACCTCCCTTTCCAATCCAACTGTGGACCATGCGTGCGAGACTCCCACATTGGAAAGAAACCCACTGCAATGCATCCTTTCAACGCTTGAGACGACATGCGAAAATGTATGATCATACAGTTCGGCGAGGCGTTTTTTACGCAGCGAGGTGTCCAGCGAGGTGTCCAGAGAGCTCCCCTCTTTTTAACAGGACCGCCCCACCTGCGTAACTCGTGCACGCAAAGTTTTACTGCTGGCTACGACAGTCGACTAGGTCCCAAGCAAGAGCCCCACAATGGAAAGAAGCCGCCCCCCCCCCTCGTGCAGCTGAACCAGGTGTTGAGAATCCTGGCTCGCACCTGAAGAAATACGAAGGGAGGGCCCGATGTTGAAAAGAACCGCCCTTCATCCGCGCGGCTGTTGCATGGGTTCAAGCGTGCGGTCTTGCCATGTCGAGGAAGCTCGGGCGACACCCGAGCTTCGAGAAGGAACCACCCGCCATCCCCCTGTGGATGCTGCAAACTGTAAGGCGAACGCGCGCGGCGCTGCGGCGAGAGCCCCGCTTGGAAAAAAACAAAAAAACAAAAAACAAAAAAAAAAAAAAAAAAAAAAAAAAAGCCGCCAATCCGTGAAGCTGGTGCGAACCACGGGGAGGGCATTGGATCAGGAAGCACTGTACGAGGAGTCCAAGGTCTGGAAGCCGGTGGGAGCCCGATCGTGAGCTGGCCATGGATATCACTGCCGCCGTCATCAGATTAGGAATCCTCCAGGGTCTGCAGCCTCCTGGGCACCTTCCTTGACCAACGCCCGCACCGTACGAAAACGAGTGTGCACAGCGCGCGAAGTCGAGGGCCCCATGTTGAAAACGAGCCGCCGTTTATCCTTGATACCGTTGCAACATTTGCCGATGCATGTGCGCTGTGATCAAGCGACGAGACCTCCATCTAGGAAATTGCCCCCCCTACATCCTTGAGGTGGCTGCACGCTATTATGTCGCATGCGCGGCTAAGGCGAGAACTCAATCTTGAAAATGGCCCGCCCTGCGTCTTGGAAACTGCTGTGAATCCAAAGCTTCACGATCATACACGGTGGGGAAACTTCAGCCCAAACGCCACGCCCACCTTACCGATACGTTTGAGGGTGCGACCGGGAAGAGCTACGCATGAGGAAGAGGGGCGGAGAAGCGAAAGAGGCCCAGAAGCTTGCCGAACAGAGTCCCAAGAGGCACTCAAGAGGCCTCCAAGAGGCCACATACATGTTACAGGTTCGCGAAGTACGTAACACCCCGCAGTTGCGAATAAGAGTGGGGGGCCCCTGTGGGGGGGGCTGCGAGGACGTCCTCAATCTGCGAGGCTCTGGAGAAGCCCGCCGCAGGCGCCAAACTTTTCCGAATTATGCGCGCCGATTTTTTCGCTAAAGCATTGTGGGTGGATCGCGGGGTGGGTCGCGGGTGGGTCGCGGGTGCGTCGCGGGCCGGGTCACGGGTGGGTCGCGGGTGCGTCCCCTATGGGTCGCGGGTGGGTCGCGGGTGGGTCGCAGGGTGGGTCGCGGGTGGGTCGCGGGTGGGTCGCGGTCGCGGGGTGGTCGCGGGGTGGGTCGCGGGTGGGTCGCGGGGGGGTCGCAGGGTGGGTCACGGATGGGTCACGGGGTGGGTCGCGGGGTGGGTCGCGGGGTGGGTCGCGGGTGGGTCGTGGGCGGGTCACGGGGTGGGTCGAGGGTGGATCGCGGGTGGGTCGCGGGGTGGGTCGCGGGGTGGGTCACGGGGTGGGTCGCG